TTAAGAAAAAAGAGAAAAAGAAGACAAATGTTATGTGCGTAGATTCAGATCTATCTATATATATATTAGCCACAGCAACGCGTGGCCGGGGCACCCCTAATATATATATATATACGTATTTAAAAAGTATTTTCTGATAGTAGCGTATTTGAGTGAAGTTATGAAGTAGGTATTGTTTATACGTATATGTGGGATCGAATATATCTTCAGGTTAAATGTAATAGGTATTCGTGGGGAATTTGACAGAGGACTCTAGATAGTTTAATGGATAGAGAAGAGGCCCGGAAAGCGAAAGATCCTGGGTTCGAAACCCCCGTTCCAGGGATTTAATTTTTCCCCGAATCCTATATATACATATATACTACCAACACATATACTCTATGTACTATATAATACTTACAGCATTTAATGGTTCTTCCGTTGATGGTGTTAACAAATCATAAACTTGCTGTTTCTCTGGTGGAAGAGGGATGAATATCGGTTCTTCATTTGGATCCGCTACAACGCTACTTTCATCTACCTTTCTATCTTCGACTTGTCCAAAGTTACCATTATCACCGGTCAGAGGATAATTCGAATGGGATTGAACTGGTGCTACATCGTAAATTGGAGAATATTGTTGAGTTGTTTTATCAATTTTATTTCCCGGATTTTCCGAAGTACCGCTTATACCAAAGTCTGTATTGTCGAGTTTTTCGGCGTAATAAGCGGTGTAGTCTTTAGATTTCTGAACAGTAGGTTGATTACGAGTCTCGCTGTTTTGTGCTTGGTAATTAAATCCATTGACCGGAGCTTTCTCAAGAACACTTTGATCCAAGTCATTTAGTTGACTTCCATAAGCGATAGGATAGTTTGCTTCTTGCGGATAATTTTGTGGATAATTTTGACTCTTTGAATAATCTTCCGATGCAACCGGCGTATTATAATTCGTTGTAGTTTCACGAGGTGGTGGATAATTCTCGGTAGAACTGATACTTGTTGATGAATAATTCTCTTGAGAGAAAGCATTTAGGTTTGACAAAGGTATACTTGACTCTTGTTGATTAGAATTATGCGAGGTTGAGCCCGGTTGCGAATATGGATCGGTCGATGAGGAAGTGATTGATTCGTCGGGAGCAGTATGCTCGTAAGTCGCAGCTTGGTGAGCTTGAACGTTGTAATTTTGATCATAGGCCTGTATCAAAAAAAGATAAATTTATGCACATATAAATTTTTGAAAAAATAAAATACAGATAACCTTTGAAAAACGTGGTATTTGAAGAACACTAGTTTTGAAAAACACGGATATCTTCCCCCGAATTACACGGTTTCAAACTACACGATTTTCGAGCAATTCTTTTGAAAAAGAATAAAATACATGTATTATATTTGATATAAAATTATTTTCAAATATGTCATTTCTTTGAAAAAATAGATAGTTATGATCAAAGGAAAACTATTCAGATTAAATAATAAATATTTTATTTAGTATCTCAGATAGATACGACATTTTTATTTTGATAATAAAAAGTAAGATAAAACGTTTTTTCAAAACTAATTAAAAAATTAATTTGAATTATGTAATACAAGATTTCTTAGAAGTGTTTACCAATATGAATTCAAACAATAAAAATTTTTAGTTTTATATTTAACAACAACAAAATTTTAAACGTAACGTTTTTTTTACTTTTACATTTGAAACGGAATCCTGTTTTTTGTAGTCTCGAACAACACGGTTTCAAAGAACACGGAACCAATTAATCGTGTTTTCGGAGGGATTACCTGTATGAGATAATTTTTCATTAAATTAAATAATCCGTACCTCTGATTGATAAGCCATCTTATCGTTATGCCTGTGTTTTTGTCCTCTTTGTCTTTTATGGTGATCTGCGTAGTTATATTTCTCCGTAGTTCCAGAATTCTTAGATTTGGTAGGTTCGTAAGCAGTCGAATCGTTATATGATTCAGTAGTCGTTGTGTATCTCGACCCACTTCTCGTTCTGCTGTAAGGTCTTCTAGATCTGTCTGCAGTCGTTCTAGTAATAGATGTTGTAGGTGTTGTGGTGGTAGTTGGTCGTGTGGGTACTATCCTACTCCTGTTTAAAATATATCGTCGTGTTTATTTTCATATTATATTTGTGTATATTTTTACATCTTTGTAATAATTACACTTACCTATGACGTGAACGTGGTCTATAAGTAGTTGATGGTGGTCTGGCTGTAGTAGTTGTGGTCGTAGCCTTTGTATACGCTGGTGTTGTTACAACATGTGTCGTTGTAGTGGTTGGAATCGTTGTCTGCTTCTCTAGCAAAGAATTTACCAAGCCAGGTAGATGGGGTGAGATTGGTAATTCAGCAGGTAAATTATATTGCGTTAGGCCTACAGATTCTCTTACTTCGTTAACATCATTCGGAGAAAGTAGAGGTTGAAAAGAATTGATCAGATGAGGTTCTGATTGCGTATATGTGTTTTGGTGTTCTACAAAGGAATTTTTGTTGTTGTTGTTGGCATCTCTTTGTTTAGCAAGTTCGTGGTTAATCAAAGCTAATTGTCCAGCTAAATCTTGTTCTTTCGTCAAAGGATCATCTAGTGTTCTCAATGAGTGTTCTGGATAATTCGGTGTACTCGAATAAATTGCTTCCTCTTGATAAGCAGTCGCAGTGGTACCTCCTAATCTAGTTTCGTGTGCTAAATTAGGAGCTACAGGTCTGGAATCTTCATTGTAATATGCCTTTTGTTTGGACTTTCCAGTTGGAATTGATGATTCATCTCGGTAAATAGTGTCGATTACAGAAGGAGGATTATTATCTCCGTACGATTGCCTAAATCGGAATCTAGAACCACCAGGATTTGATATCGTAGAATACGAAGTATCATACTTTGGTGTACTCGACAATTCTTGAGTGTAACCAGCTGTAGTTGAATGTTCGTAGCTTAGTGTGGTAGGATCTATCCGACCTAAATTACTTCCAGTACCATCGATATAAGAATTGGGCTCTATAAGAGGCGTCGGGCTAGGATTATGAATAATTTCTGGTGTATCAGGTTCGGGAGATGAAGCATCGATCGTATTCACGACAACGGATCCAATATGAGGAGCTGGGAATGGGATCTTAGAATATCCCGGTGGTGGATCGAAGCTTAACGGCGCTACGAAAAATGGTAATTTATCTACCTTCCTTTCAACTCGATTATGATCGATTGACGATAAGTACGGGAGATCAAACTTCGTATAACCAGCCGGTGGATCTAAATTCGTTGGTCCTACAAAAACTTTAGGTATGTTAGGTACAACCGTATCTAAAACTGCTATAGTTTTAGCATCCTTAAGAATCCTTAAAACATCCGCAATTTTTACTCTGTCCGGTGCCATGCTATCACCACCCATGTAAACGGAAAGAGGAGGTTGATTGGGGGACGGTGGTGGAGTCGTAGTAGGTGGCTGCTGATTGATTCTTGGACGTTGTTGTCTAACGCGATTTCTGTGTTTTATCCTATGGGTCGTTTCCTCGAGATGCTGTCGATGTAATTGTTTGTTACGTGCCAAAGAAAGCGTTTGAGTGTCCGGCTGATTTTGATCGACGTTTGGAGCAATCGTGCTAGCTTCCTCTTGCCTCTGTTGTTCTAATTTTCTTTCTTCCTCCAAAGCACGTTGAATCTCCAATTGTTTTTGTCTCTCCAATGCAGCAAGTCTTTCTTTTTCTGTTTGTCTTGCCTCTTCCTCTTGTCGACGTTTTTCTTCTTCTTGCCGACGCTTTTCTTCCTCTTGCCGTCGTCTTTCCTCTTTCTCACGAGCTTCTGCAATTCTTCGTCTCTCAAGTTCTTCCAATCTCTGCTTTTCCCTTACCTCTCGAAGTCTTTCAAGTTCTCGTTGCTTCGTTATTTCTTCGATTTTCTCAAGTTCTTTTCTCCTTCTTTCCTCTTCTTTCTGTTTTGCTAATTCTTGTTCTTTTTGTAGAATTTCTTGCTCAAGTTGAGCCTTCCTTTCCAATGCTTTTTCCACATCTTCTATTCGAGCGACTTCCTTCGATCGTTCTTCCTTTGCGAACTTCAATTGGTCCAAAAAATCTCGACCGAAAGTATCTGGCTCTCTTGTCGTTTGCTCATTTTCATCGTTTATTCGATATTGCTGCTGCTTCTGCTGTTGCTGCTGTTGCTGACGGAAAGGATATTGCTTTTGTCCTCGAAATCTTTTTGGTTGAACTCTTTGTTGAGCTAACGTTTCTATAGGAACGTAGACTAGTTGAACCTGAAAAGAATGAGATGAAGTTATTACAACACGTAAAAAAATAAAATAAATCTGAAGGAAAGAATCGTTGAACTGTATTCACCTCCTCGTTTTCGTTCTCTGCATTTTCAGATATACCTGAAATACCTTGTACTGTTTGACCTTTCACTTGTTTTCCACTTGGCCGATATTTTTCTTGCTTCCCGGCGAAATCTTTAACGTTATCACGAATATCCTCTACTTGAGTCAATTGATCAAGACTTTGTCCTTCTCTCAAACCATCTTCATGACCTTCGCTGTAGTCAACTTGACTTTTGCTATTATGGGAGTTTCCAAATTCTTCAGATTTAACGTTTAAATTTTGATTACCCCTTATTCGTTGATGAAACCGCTGTGGTCCTTGGGATAGGAAGTTTTGAGCTGAATAAATGGGTGGAAGAGCATCAGATGAAGGTAGTGGTGGTACCAGCACGTCCGAACTTAAACCCGATACACCCGATAAATTTGGTATCGTATTTTGTTGAAGCATGCGCTTGTCATTTTCCGGGCTACTGAAGCCACTCGGTAGAAATGTTTGAGACTAAAATTAATTTATTAAAATGAAGAATAATTAATAATGATTTCTTATATATATATAATGACTTCTTTATATTAATAATTAACATCTTTAATCATCTATAATTCGTAAACTACTATAAGCTATATTAGACATATGTTTTATGATATTTGTAATTTTTTAGTGCATAAATATACATCCTGAAAGTATTGACATACATTTCTGAAACATTGTGTATATTTAATACCTGCAATAATTGTTGTTGTGTTCTAAGTTGTTCCTGCAAAATCAGCAACTTTTGAATATTTTCTTGAGTCTTTTGCAATTGCAAAAGTTGTTGCTGATATTGTTCTTGAAGTGCCGGTGGTAAAGAGAGTGATGAAAGATGCGGTAAAGAAGGACTTCCCGAAGAAATAGGTCCATTTCCACTATTACTCGGCCTGATTTGACTCGATGAACTTCTTGGATTGGCCAAAGGAATCCAATCGCTGTTTGATACTTGTCTGGACCATCGTTCTCCGTTGATACCACCAATTCTTATGTATAGAATCAAACCGGTAGATAGTAGTATCAACGACCAGCACCTCCGCACGATCTGAATAGACGAAATCGAGGATTTCAAACTATTTTCTTATTACTTTCACAAACTTATTTCGATAAAAGTGATTCGGGATTATGTCATTAGTTTTCTTTTCTCCGTCTAATAACAACTTCGACTAGGGAATAAATCAAAGGAATTCGTAGAAAGTCAAAGATGATAATATCATACGGCATATCGTTGCCGTAATGATAATGTCAAAAACGAAATAAAACCGCAAACTCGTGGTAGTCGATCACGAAATATATAAGAAATTCTTTAGATTTATTGCGAATACCGATAAATTAACTTCTTTCAATGATATTTTCTGATGAATCCTTGCGGTTTATTAGCGGTAACGAGAACGAAGTTAAACGTAGTACCTCTTAAAAACTTCTCAATCTTTTCAAATTATCTTCCTTCGTGATATCTCGTACGTATTTCTCGATTTGGCAATAGATACTATTATTTTGTTAATTACGGTTAGAAATGAGAATAAATCATTCTTTCTATGAGGAAACAATAAAGAATAAGTGCCATCGATTTTTCATTTTCAAAGACTTTCAATTTAAATGTATGTATGTATATACTTATATATGTGAGTGTGTATCTGTCTGTCTCTCTCTCTCTCTCTTTCTCTCTCTATGTATAAGTGCGAAAATACATTATCGATTCTCGATACAATTTTCCGTTTCATTTCCGCTTCCTGAAATTCCTAATCGCCTTTCAAGGAAGATTTTCTTATGTTTCTAGCGACACGATGAATCGTAAAATTCGTAATTACATCGAATGAAATCATTTCGAGAGGAAAAGAGGTAAAGAAAAGTTCTCTTTCGTTTATTCGAAATTATCGTGCTATATTAATACCTTCTTTGAACGTTCTAGATTCATTTTCGCGTGTTAACCACATTTTATGTCCGTTCCAATGTGCTATAGTGAATGTAGTTGACCTTCTCCTTTATGATACTGTGTTCAACAGAAATTCTATTAATGTAATAGATATATGGGTATACACCCCACTAGTATTCTAAATATTTCACACTAACGCGAAAGTATCTAGTTATTTATTTTTGTAGTTTCATTTTAAATTTTATGAAACATTTATATTTATATTTTTCTTATTAAGTAGACAATAAATCTTTTTAAAATTATATGTATTTAACTTTTGAATTTAATTTTTGTGTATTTATAAACATATATCTTTTTATCACAATACTATACAATATTTTGTTGAAAAGAATTAAATTTGTAGTTTAAGTTTATTTTATTTTATTTTTATTATAATGTTATGAACTAAAGATTTTTTCCATTAAATAATGGCTCCATTTAATATTTAAAATTCGGTTATAAAAGATATACAATTATAGAAATTATTTTTAAATGTTCTTAAAATTATATATCTATAGTAGACTCTTGTAAAATACGAGTTCCTATAATGCAAATTTCAATACCGTGCCAAAGATATTGCGACTACTATGTCATGTGAGACAATTTTTCGTATAAAACGCACTATATAATAAAATACAGAAATTTGTTGTGTTTAAAAATTAAATTTACAGTAATTGAGGATTACATTGTTGTCCTTGTCTTTATTAATTTTTTCTCTTTTCTAATTACATTTTTTTTTTAATTTTTGACCACTTTTATTATTTTTGACCACTAATATCAAGTTTGTGAAAAAGAATTTACATCCAATATATATTTTTTCATGAATTAATTGTAAATTATTTCAAAGATAAATAAATTATTTCATTGGAGAAAAATTTACTGTATTTGAAAATCAGTCATTTCGACAATATTCATTCGATTGAATATAAATACCAAATGAGGGACGGAATATCATCGCTTGTCATTTGCCAATTTCCTTTGGAATGTCAAATAAAATGACTAAAATAACGGTTTAAATTACAATGATTATCAGATAACGTATTTACCAACAAATAGATGCCAACATGGAAAATAAAGCACTTCTACGTTCTCGAAACCGTAAATAAACATTATTATTATTATAATTATAATTGTTAATCGTAGTTGTCATTATCACCTTTAATATCACCATTAAGTTAGAGTTAAGATCGAGTTGTACGCGAGATCTGGAGTGCAACCAAACTAACGAACTGTGAAACATCTAAAAGCATAACAGCATACCAGTGATTTCTAATAAATACATGAGCCGAGTTAACTTTTGCCGGATCTTTTTTACCGTGAACGTTTCGCATTTATATTAATTAATCGTAAATTAATGTAAATTGAAAGTCGTGTGAAGGAGAAGGCGATTTTTAAATACGAAAAAAAAAATGAAAAGAAACAAGAAAAAAAAGTTTAACAAGTTAGAGCTTTTTCTCGCGAATAAAGAAGAGAAAGTTTTTTTCGAGCTTGAAACAATCATGTATGTAAAATAAATATGTACTACTGACATCATTTAGATTATGTGCCACGATACACGGTTACGAACAATTTTCATTGCGGAAGATCGCGTGTCCGACACGCCGTACGATTTTTCTGCTTTCTTCGCCAAATGCATTCTACGAGTAAGGTATATAGCTAACCTATGTGCATATATCTATATAATACGTGGGTGGTACTTTTAGAAAAAATAAGTTTCTCGAGTGTGAAATAATCGAGCAATATCTTACGAACTATTTAAAGCATAAAAAGGCATTCCTATAACAAGTTATGTTGCATAATATTTTTTATATTCTACTTGAACGGGAAAAATCATGTTGCTTTTTCGAAATCGAACGATGTTGTCGTCAAGAAGAAACAAAGAATAAAATAAAGTCGATTTTTTCGATAAATTAAAACTTCCGATTTGTACGTTTTAAATATACATATATGAAATTTAATTTTCTTTCTTTTGTTTGATCATTTTTAGTTTAGTAGAAAAAAAGTATAAAAAAACAGTTCGTTTGATCGATATTTTCGATCCAATTTGTAAAGATTCATAATTCCGTAGAAATTACTTTCTCTCATTCGAAAGAAACTTATGAATGTTTAGAGTGATTTTTCTCATTGCCTGTAAACATTTGCAACACGACACGTAACGTAACGCTACGAAGAACAATTTCAACGTTAAACTCGTACAACTATCGATCCCTTCTCTGTGTACAGAACGCGTGTAGTTAAGAAGGCGTTGAAAAGGAGGTCGGCACCTTTCTCTCCTTGCCCGGAATTGACACGGCATCATCTCATACTTTTTTTTTTCTTGAAACATAGGTGAGACATCGCCGTGCCAAATTATGATATGACATTTGAATTTCTATTCGAATGTTATATTTATTTTATAATTTAAATATATTATATATATATATATATTTAACTATTTCTCAAAGTGGATATATGTATAGTAATCAATTTTTTATTATAATTTTGAGATTTGTTTTTGTTGCTGCAAACAAACAATACATACACACACACACACATAATTTAAATTTTAAGTAAAATAATATTTAACTCATATTAAAATAAAAATAACAATATTTTTTTTCTTTAATTTAAAAACGTTAAAATTAAATAAAAAACAAAATTTTGTATTTTTTAAAAGTTAAATTTGTCATTCGAATCAGAGATTATATATTATATTTTAATATAATTTAATAAAATTCAACTACAATTCAATTATATTATATACATTTTATAATATAGTTTAATATCATTTGTATATATGTTATTGATATGAAAACTTGTATTTTATAAAAAAAATTGTTTTCTATACAAATTTCTTTATGGCAATTTAATCATCAAAAATTGTAGTCCATTAACAAACAATGTTGGAACTTCATCAATATATTTGTTAATTTCTACAAGATAAAATATTGTAGAGAAGACCAACTACAATAACTTAAAGTCTAATCGTAATACTACATAACCGATAATTTCATAAAGAATCATTAACCTATAACATTTAAAACGATGTTTAAACTAATATCCATCGTGTTCTGTACTGGTTATCTTAGTGTTAGGTGTTTGAAGTACTATAAATAACTTTAACTTGTTCTATTCGTTAATCGAGGGAAAATTTAAACAGCATAGAATAGCTTAAACGAAATTTTATCTATTACATACGTAACATGATCAAGGAAACACCAAAGAAAATGTCATATTTGCAACCTTCGGAATTTCACGCTCCACTTATTCGTATGCACTGCCTTCAGTTTCTTGAACTTTCGTTTCTCCTTCATGTATCGATAAAACTGACCATTCGATTGAAGCTTATAGAATCCAACGATTAAAATATTCTCTTTTTAATAATAATTGTAACTACGTACATATTTTAATATCAACATAACTTGAACGTCTATTCTATGTTATCGCAAGAATTCGAACTTTTGACAGATCGATAAGAATGATGAGAATTATGTATATAGGTATATACATAGTTATGTTGAGACATCTTCCGTATACATATATACAAATATAGGACGTTATTACTGCTTGGATACCACATGTCGGCTGTATGAAATTGCATACTTGGAATAATTACGGATTGGGAACTTACTATTGCAACGAAGTAGATTTTAAAGGAGGATAGAGGCTTTTGAGATCCGTATGAGAAAAGAAGAGAGAAAAAAAATGAAGAAAGAATATTCAATGTGAAAATGAAAAAAATCGAGATGAATAATAATTAAAAAAAGAGAAGAAAGAAAAAAATGTAAAAGTATCTTTTTTTTTTTAATCAAATCTTTTTTCTCACCTACTTTTTTTTAATTAAGTAAATAAAATATTATTTTGCATATACTTCGTTGGCATTGAAAATAAAGGAATTATAGATACAAGACCGCGTCTAGTATACTGAAAAATGTAAGTATGTACGTGACGGTAGAACGAACAAGAGAATTGCTCCTTTTCTTCTCTCTAAAATCTGCATTTAATAACGTTGCATCTCATTATCTCTTTCTTTCTCTTTTGATAAGGAAAAATTCGAAAATTCTTCAAGTTGAATCGTAAAAGAAGATAGATTTTTTCTCCTTTTTTTCCACTCTAGTTAATCCGAGCATGGAATTGCTTCCATCGAAGGACCGGTTTATTTTTCTTAACATAGCTGTTGTTTGCTGTTGCTAATGCTGGTGCTGGTGCTGATACTGGTACTGATACTGGTGCTGGTGCTACTGGTATCACAGAGAGTAGACAGCAGTACCTGGACACGAATGGACACAGGTTTCATCGGTGTGCCACTTTACGTATATATCTCTCGTCAATAGAACTTTCTTCGTTGGCCCCACCTTTTTACTTTCGCCTTCGAACTTTTTGAGAGTTGTACCTTCCCACCATCATCACAGTGTCTGTTCTTTACACTTGTCTCTTTTCTTTTCTCGTATCCGTTCGAATCATACGAGTGAGTATCTTTTTTTCTTTTTCTCTTGAGAGGACGAGAGAGAGAGAAAAAAAAGAGAGAGCGAGCGAGTGATGAAAGATGAGAAAGAGAGAAAGAGGTACACGCCCGTCCACAGGAGTTTCGAGTTTTCAAAGTGAAACTAATAACCGGCTATCCACTCGGAAAGTAATGTAGAAACATGAGAAAAATTTCTTGATAGAAAGGAGTGAGAAGTTCCTTCTTTACAAACTGAAAATGCTTATCATCAGAGGAATGTAATTTTATGATATTTGTTAGTGAATTCTTTTATGGGTTTGTCCATGCACGTTTATTTTATAAGATTAATAGATATATAATAATCTTTATTTCTTTTTTTTTTGACTGAAACACGCGTTTATAAGATTAGAAAAAAATAAGAACGATTGTGCAGATTATTATGACAATGAACCAAGGAAAAAAAATTGATTCCATGATTAAGAAATAAATCATAAATATAAAAATATAATAAAATAAATAGTTTAATTAATTTCTTATATTTTTTTTCGATTTTTTGACTTATAGATCAATCGTCGTCATTAGCGGGACGATTCGAAAGGAACGAGAAATTTTAATAATTTTTTTTATTCGTACACAAATTTTTGTCGAGTAACGAAAGATATAATATGAATAAGTAACAAAAATGAAGGAGAAAAAAACTGCAGCTATAGATCCGGGAATGATTTGCGGCAGGTCGAGCATGAAAATGAAAACCTTTCAATTGCGTAATCTTGTTCAGCAATGATATTGAGATTCGATCGAGAAAGGAATTACCCACACAGAGAATCACGTACCAATAAGAACAGATATATCTATGCTTCGTGCTACATTTATCTCTTCCTCTCTCTCTTTTTTTTCTCCTATTTTCTATGAAACGGAAAAAAAGAGAGAGAGACAGACAGAAGAAGAAACGAAAATGTGGAAAACTGTACAGATATTGTCGACATGACATACGACATCTAGGAAGATAGATGTTCACCGAACTCTTGAATTGCGACATAAGGAACGAAGCTGTTCGTTCACACACTGACCCCCATTTCGATCCCTGAGGCGTATTCGACGCTCCGCTGTGACTACTTTGTTCATTATATTTCATTTTTCTTCAACAGGAAGAAGAATGCGAAAGTGCCAATGAGATCGACGATAAAAATCATTAACTCGATTTATACAGTCGCATTCCTGCAACTCATTGAACATGCACCAAGTTCTTTTCATTATTTGAACAATAATAAATTTATTACTTTCATTATTTTAACACTACAATCTTTATGACCAAAAATATACGCCTTATCGTTAAAATCAAAAGATGCAATTATCACAATAATTATAATAGTGGTATAAGTAAAAAAAGTAGAAAAAATTCAATTTATGATCTATATTGTAATGTTAATTAATTGTAATAGAAAATAAATCCTAAAATCAGTTTTTTTTACAATTTTGCGTTTCAGTTCTTTTTTTAATTATTAGTCCGATTAAATAATTACCTATCAAATTGATGATTATTTAATAATAACTACATTTACTTTTATTCATATATTTTTTGTTTAATTCAAATTTACAACAAGATAGAGTAGGTATTCTATATTTAGGTATGCAAACGTAATTACGTATACAAAACTGGAAACTTTATGAGATATAGGAAAGTTAGATAAATATTAAGGAAATATAAGTTTTTCGTGATTTTCTTTGAAACCAAAAACCAATAAAAAGAAAAGACAAAACAAAACAAAACTCGCTTTGAACGAGTTTCTTTTCTTTTCTTTTCATTCTTTCTTTTTTTTTCTCTCAAACAAAAGTTTGGAAGTTTGTTCAAAGCTTAGGTACGATATTCTCTTAAAGAAATGACGAACGAACGATTTGTAAGAGATCACTCCGGTGAACTCACCATTGTGCAGGGTGACTGTAGAAATTGTCGCGACACCGTCGTTTCACCCCTCCTTCCTCCTATCTCTTATTCTTCTATCTTTCGTGACAATAGAAGAAAGGATATCTAGAGTTTCTAATAAATAATAGATATTTATTACTAAGAATAATGTAGATGACACTATATAACACTGCACCACGAATATTCTTTCATATCCCCTATACTCATTTGTTTATTTATATATCTTTATTTTATTGTCTTTTCTCTTAGAACTAAGAATGAAGAAAATTGTAAAAAACGCAGGTGGGGTAACACACAACAAGATATCCAACAACTTTAGTATACGCGTACGGTCTTAGAAGTGCGAACAGTTTGAAGGGGCTCCATCGTAATGGAGAGTCTATATAGACTCCCCTCCAAAGACAGACAAGCTTTGCTATAAAGCGTGTGTACTCGATGCGATCTAAACGAAACGTGATCCAGGAGAAAGCCTCTCCTTCGATTGGTCACACAGAACGGGATCCTGGAAATACACTTCGATGCACACTTTTCGAAGATCGGAAGGGATCAGAGATCTGTCGTACTTATGTATCTTGGATCGATCACTATGACCTTATTATCTTCGACCTTACAATCTAACTCATATATCTGGATCATCTTACTTGATACTCGATACTACGACGAAATCTATGAAGATGGATGCTCTTCTTTACCTTTCTAATCGTAAACGCCTCGAAGAAATTTTTATATTCTAATCTTTTTTTTTGTTTATTAATGAACCATAATGTGGATCCTCGTGAAAACGTAAATTGTTTATTGATAGACTCCTTTCTATTCGAGTAATGGCATAACTAATTAATGATGGCATAGTTAACGTACCGCGAGCACTCTGCCGAGATTAAATTTTTTCTCCCTTTTTTTTAAATCTTTTTTCTTTTTCATTTAAAAACTACACGCAAATATGGAAAGTTAAAGTGAAGTTGTTAAAAAGTTACAAAATATTTTTCTCCCTTTTTGTTATTTTTTTTCTCTAACCATTCAATGTCATTTTGTAAAATTTCTAGAAAAGATACTTAACCGATAGAAGTACACTAAAAAGGTCATCGATCTTTCCTCGTTTCAGGACGAACAACCTTAATCTGCATCCTTAACCGTGTACATTAAAGGGAATAGCTTTTTAGCGTTTATAAGCAATGACTTGTGGTCTTGCATGCTAAGTTGACTTTTCGAGAAAAATGGTCACTAAATTAGTAGTCATTAAATGGTCCCATCAAAAATAATGTGAAAATCGAACGGTAAAGATAGACGAAAAACTGAATGTATAAATAAAGGGTATAAAGGAGAGTTCTTAAGTATCTGGGTCTTGAAGACTGGAAATATACTTCCCTTTCACTGGCTCAAGTCAGAAAAATCGGTACGAATTTCTATGTATGTGTGTACGATCCATCAGGCCGGAACGTACACATAACGAAGGAAAGCACGTATGGATACACTTACACACGTTTCAGTAGAATCATTTCAATCAATCATATATATATATGGACTAGGAGTTATCATGCATGCATGAATGTGCACATAAGAGAGAAAAAGCAGTAAAAAGAAGTCGATTTTAACCCATAACTTCTCGTATGTAATATCTCGTTCGATGAAAGAATTTATCTTGAATCGAAGTAAAAGATTTTCTTCCATCGCTTAGAACATTCGAGCGTAGAATAGAAAGGAATGGATTTCAAGGTCAACGTACGATGAAAAGGACTCGTCGAATTCTCTGCTATCACCCATGATACGTATGGTATCATGATCACTGATTATATAATAGTTAAATCAGCTACTTTTAAATTCATGCACATATATATATGTATGTATCATTACCGTGTAAATGATATAATAATAATTATTATAGACTGTATGAAATCTTAGTTTTTGTATACTATTTAAGTCTTTGTTTATGCATAATGCATCAATTTAAGATTACTGGACAAAATTAATTATAGGTTTTTTAAGATTAGTTTTAATGCATTCGTAAAAAAGTCGAAAATACGATAAAATATAATTATTATGAACATAGTATCACTTATTATCATACATACGGAAGAAATGAATAAGTAATAAATCTGAAAGTATTTTTAAATGATCTATATAACGGTAAATATCCGTCTACAGATAATTAAAATGAAATATTATACACTTCCATTCAAAATTATTTAGACATCTATTTATAACAATAATTTTGGAAAAATTTCTGTCATTATTATTATTAYGTATTTTTTATTTGTACATATTACCTTGTTATCTTTATCTATAATTAAATTTTTATTAAATTCTTATATAGTTGACAATGTTTTTGTCAAACATTCAATAAATAGTAAACCACAACTTAGCTTTAGTTGTATATTGAAGAAATAATTTTAAAAATTTCCAAAATTAAGCAAAATTGCCATAACTAATAATAAATGTAAATATATAAATAAATAGAAAATTTAAAATTATTATACAGGTTAATATCTTATCTTTTTACTCTCCCTTTAACGGATTTGCGAGTTACTTTTTTACAAATACCTTCTCACATTTATTTAATACTACGAAAGAGATAGCGTCTTTTTATCGTCTCTTTGAAGTCACAGCACACAATTTTTGTCTTTTATTTCTTCTGACGAATCACCCATCCATTTTATTAGTCATGCCCATATTTTACTTAACTTTAGTGATCTGACAGAAATTATTGATGTAACATATATAGAATAGAATCTGGTTTATTTTAGACGCATACAAAAATATCAAAATTGTGTAAAATTGTGTAATTAAAATAAATAAAATAATTTCTCGTTGATAAAAAATAATGTTATTCCTAATCATCAAATATGACATACTTAGAGTGACCTAATACTGGAACATTAGTATATATATAATATATACATACGTAGGTACTTAAATAAATAATGTAATTTTCTCATTCGCAAAGATTCGCATGGTAATTATCTAAAGTATGAGGGACAATTTACCCATTGTGAGATACAATGGAGATAACGTCAAAAGATTACTTCTTTCTCAAGTGGTACTGGGTGGATCCACTTCTTTTCACGGATGGCTTGAGACTCATTCTTGTTTTAGCAGAGGGTAATTAACAACGAAAGGGAAAGAAAAAAGTATAGAGAGTAGGAAAGTTTTGGTTTTATTTTCCGAACGGCTACGATTTCTCTGTTTTTTAATTTATTACTTTTTTGATACACGCTCGCGCGCGCGCTCTCATGTACACACACATATATATATATATATAAAGAGGATAGTTTTATTTACAGAGGCTTCTAGTTATATCAAAGACATGAAATGAATACGCAAGATGCGATCATCAGTGCGCCGTATATCCGGTCATTGAATTTGAACTCTTCTTCTTCTTTTTCGTCGTCTTACCATTGTATGTACAGGATCCCTGTGTTCCCTCCCTTTTCTGCATTTTTCATAAGATATACATCACGTTCTGGGTAGAGCTAATAGCGAGAAGGAAATCTCTCTATTATCACGCATATACATATACACGCAAAAATGCGTGTGTGCTCATACAATTACCTTATCGTCTCAGAGATTTAACAGAATATTTTTCAAATGCAATTTCCTGAGAGAGATAACTCTCGTTTAAATTGAGAAAGTGAAAGACAAATGTTACATGTGCCGTTTTTTTTTAATAAAATTTTTTAGGCGACGGTAACAATATAATTTTATAAAAAGATACGAAAAAAGAGAGAGAAGGTGAAACCAACAATCTATTGACAGTTAAACGAAATTACGGAAAATCTTAGTGTTAAAGTGATGTGGATATATATGCGTATGTATGTATAAGATACATCGATCGATAGTTAATACGAGATGTGTTTGTTTATGGAAGGATGAGTAGGGGTGTGACATACCTTGAGAGTATTCGACATACCTTAAATGATTGTTAATTAATCGCAAAATATGTATATTGTAATTTAGAAGCATGGAGTATAAGTTCAATGTACCGTCCTCTTTGAAATTCAACAGTAAACAGATTCATTGTTCTCTATAAAAATCAGTTAAAATACTTTTATTGATTCTTGTTTGTAAGACTTTCTAAAGAATAAATATTATTTTCGTTATACATATGTAGCCTTCCGAAAGTCATATAAACAAGAATAAATAAAAGAATTTTTACTGATTTTCATTGAGAACAATGAACCAGTCTAACTGTAAATTTCGAAAAGGATAGTATGTCTAATTTATGTTACACACCATGCTTCTAGACTAAAATATACATTTCTTTCGATTAATTATCAATCATTTAAGGTATATCACACACTCGAATGCATTTTACTTAATACCTTGGATTTTTTAAATTAATAATACATTTCTTTTAACGTTCCTGACCAATTATGTCTTGGAGTTGAAAATTTTCATTTAATAAAATAACAGATTAAAATTGTTTAATATTCCAAATATATTAATAGATATGTATTTTTAAAACAAATGTACTTTGTATTATTCTTACTTTAATGGATACTAAACTGATTCTGATATTAACAATATAAGGAACATTTAAATAAAAGTAAAAACAAAAGATGACCAATTGTTAAACATGAAAAAACCAGGTATCTCCCTTATTTTAATAGTTATACCAACATGCATGATTTTAAACAAGCGTTTTTTGTGCAATTTTTGTTTATTCACTTATTACTAATAGAACTTTTAAGTTAAACTCATTAAACATTTATCGCGCATGAAGGCCACACATATTCTTTTTTCAAAGTGGTATAAATCCAATTTTGAAAAAGAAAATGAGTTAAAACTAATTTCGATTTGGCATTGACGACTTCTTTTCATATTGTTTAATGACGAAAACCAATACAATATTCTGATTATTTCATCGATAACAAGTTTCGCTATTAAATATTAATGTATATATGTTTCTTTCCAAAGTAATATAATTTCATTTGTAGTTCAAAAAAACTTTAACTTATTAATATCCTAAAAAATATTATTCGAATTTATTACAAATCTTGTCCTTGAAAAGGATTCGTCCAGTTAGTTCTTAGGTATTCCTTAAAGAAGAGAGTTGAGAATTTTCGTAAGAGTTAGTGACTAAGTGACCCATACTACGATTCCTATCAGAAGTTGCATAAGAGTAGCACACGTTCCGGCTGCCTCTCACTTTTCTTGATCGTGTCGTTCGCTAATATGAAGATATATAGAACCACATTGGCGTGCTCGAACAAACTCGATCGAAGTACATTCCCCATTCAAATCATACGACTTGGTGATGCCGAGACAAGAATGATGATTTTCAAAATTTTTGAACTAATCGAAATAGCATTATTATTTATTGTTTATTATTTGAAAAGAATTAAATAATTAATTGAGTTATTAGTGCCCATAATTATGAAGTGGTCTAAATCATATTTTTCTTATTTCGAGATATTTAAAGAATTACATTTGAACACTAAATGAATTCTTTATAATATTGAAATAACAATCACTATCTGACGATTCATTTTTAAGAATATCTTGAAAATTACATTGAATTTATTTAGTTTAAAATATTTGTAGAAGTTTTTACAGTTTTACTGTTAAAACATTTCAATGATAAATGTTTAGTTTTTTGTATAATATATTAAAAATAAGCTTCATTAACTATTTGTGGAGAGAATAAAAGAATGGTCTGCTTGTGCTACTATTAATATAATTTTAAATTGTTAAATATTATGTATAAATGTTATGTTCATAAAGTGTACTTGTATATAAATTATTAGTTCCTTAGCATACGATGACTTACAATGGAACTACTTTTTTTTCATTTAATACTGATAAATATTGTTCATTAATAATATATATTGTATAAATCTCATTAAATGATATTGAACAATATGAATATTTCATTCAACCTTTTATGATTATTTAGTAAAGCAAACTAAATAATATTTTTTAAGCGACTTCCCTTCTATTTATATGTCCAACAAACCAACTATCTTTCTTCCCAACTTATATTTGTATCAAACCAACAATGAATAAATTTAATGAATTCGTATTAAATAAGATTTTTTTCGAAATATTTATCTTTTACACAAAAGTATGGGAAAAATTCATATAAAATATGTAAATAAATCTTATCCTGAAGTGTAGAAATAATAATTGATAGGTTTTTCAAATAAATTTTATGCTTTTAGTAAATAATATAATATAAATTGAGATTTATTAAGTTTAAAGTTTGCAATAAATACAAATAGTGCATAATTGTTATTAATAACTTGGATTTAATAATGAAAATATGTATTCTATATTTAATGTTATCAGTCGGTTATTCTAATCAAAAATTGGTAAAATGTTCATTTATATATATATATATTAAATTTTTCTTTATATATATTTTTTCTTAACACTTACCTCGGAAAGATCTAGTCAAGTATAGCGTCCAATTAATTCCAAAAGCATTGAAAATTTGCCGTCCTGCTGGACGGCCCATTCGAGAGACTTTCACCCTTTCTTCGACGGTTCAATGTACATTATATACATACGTAGTATATTCAGTAAACCGTCATAGTATCGTAGAAAAGGAAGTTTGACTACTTGAATGTTGCTAGTCGCGTGTGTCCTTGCGAAATAGAATCGCACAGGAATATCTTTCTCTTCCTCTTGCGTATATATGTACAATATATACATCGATCGAGCTACTTTTCACCGATTGCACTCTTTGCTTTTTCCAACAGTCTTGTAACTTCTTTCTCTTTCTCATTCTCCACTGTATTTTTTCTCTTTCTTATTCTTTTTCTCTTTCCTTACATTTTTCTCTGTTTGTATTTCTTTTTCGTTTCTCTTACATTTGTTTGCGTTGAAACATACCTCTCGGGCTCGTTACCTTTCTCTTTTGAGCGTTTCCTTTATATTCTGTTCTCGACATGGCCTTTCTCTTTCAAGCGATTCCTTCATTTTCGTTCTTTGAATGAGAGAAGCCGCAGCGTAGCCCTAGAAAAAGATAGACGAAATTATTATTCGTCTTGCCAGTGTTTAGGGCTAATTGATCGGTAGCTAGACAATAGATTTTTATTCGAAAACCAATAATGTTGAGATTACTGCAGGAGAAAGCTATACCGCCTGTAAAATACAATGCATTATATCTTCTTTTCCTGCTTTTTCTTTTTTTTTCCTTTTTATATTTTATTTTTCTTCTTATTCTTCTCCTTATTTTTTTTTCCTTTTT